GCTAGGAGGAAAGGTCCCCACGCGCCTCCTCCCCCGCGGTCCCCCCACCCCAGCCGGGTGCCGGCCTCTGAGGCTTTTCTCTCCCTAAGCCTTCTGCGCACACAAAGACTTGCAAGCACACGGTTCCCCGCCCTCCGCTTTCTGCTTTAACCCCTTGATGGAGCTCAAAGCTTTCCATGGCCTGCAGCTCCTGGGAATCTGGTCCCAACATGCTTTGCCATGTGGTTATGACATTTAGTTCAGATGCACAGAAAAGTGCAGCCAATCATAGGACACGTATGACACCTGTGCGCTCACAGAAATGTAACACCAGTAAACGTTACATCTCCATCCGGTTTTATTTTGTAATTAAAACTTTCCAGATGAATTCAAAGCCACACAGACCTCATTGGTCCCTCTCCCCCATCCCCCCCCCATGAAAGCCCATCCTTAGTCCTTCCTCTGTCCATTTTATATTTGAACTAAACATGTGTAAGGTCTTCCTTCCTGATCCAATGAGGCTGACGGGGGGGGGGGGGGCTCAAAACGCTGCCCCTGTCCCTCCATCATACACCCAAGATGCACAGGCCAGCAGCTCCCTCAATTCCTCTCCCCACACCTACAGCTAAGCCCTCCCTGAGTCCTACCGGTTGGGTAGGCTGGTATCTCTCAGTCACTACCTCCTGTGTCAGTTGAGGCTCCATTATTTCCGCCCTGGTTTTCTTTTCTTTTTTTTTCCTTTTTTTTTCAATTTCTTTTCAAACCGATCTTGCCTCCAGAGCCATCTCCTGTCATTCATGATGCACCTGTTACTCCTCTGCTTAGAGTCCTTTATTGTACATGAATGTGTCATTTTACTCTACTCAAGTAGATCATTCTTCCCCATTATGATTTGTACTTTGTGAAATCAAAAAGCCTATAGAACAAAATTATTCTCCTACATGTTCTTACAAATATTTTTAAATATTTTTGTTACTTTTTAAATTGAAATCACTTCAAACCAACAGAAAAGTTACAAGAATAGTATAAAGAACTGTTTACACTTCAGATTCCCCAATTTTTTTTATTTTACTACATTTGTTTCATCATGGTCTCTCTTTACATATTTTTTCTATTTTAGAGTAAATAGACCCCATGCCCCTTTACCCCCTAAATATTTCAGTGTATACTTATAATAACAAGGATATTCCCTTACATAAATGAAATACAACAACCAAAATTAGAAAATCAGTATTAATGAAATCTATTTTCTAATCTAAAATACTCAAATTTTGTCGATTATCCCCAAAATGTTCTTTTTAGCAAAAAAAAAAAAAAATTAATTAAAAAATTGGAATCTGGTCCAAACAGCTCTTTGTTTATGGCTTTTCAGCAGGAACACCACAAGAGGAATGCTGTGTCCCTCTCAATCATCAAAGGAGCAGCTACATAATGTGTATTTTAACCATCAATGGTAAAAACTTTAACCACTCAGTTAAGGTGGTGGTGTATGCCAAGTTTGTCCACTATAAAGTTATTATTGTTTCCAATTAATAAGAGTTTTGTGAGGAGATATTTTGAGACTATATAAATACCAAAGTTCTCCTTAAACTATTAGCATCAATTGAGAATTTTGCCCAAATCATTTATTACCATGATGGCTGCCAAATGGTGATTTCTGAACTCTAATCCTTCTACATGTATTAGTTGGCATTCTTCTACAAGGAAGAAATTTTTCTTTCTCTCTATTTATTGATTGATTCATTAATTTATTCAGAATGGTCTACAGATTCTTATGGATTATGATATTATTATTAATTTTCCTGCTAAAATTATCCTACATTTGGTCAGTGGAAGTCTTTCTAAGGTGACTCCTCTCTCTTTCTCTCATTTTTCAAGCATTTCCATGTGCTCTGTCACTACAAGATATTTGAGATACCTATAAATATAGGTAGATGTAGATATGCATATGTAGATAGAGATCTTTCTGTTTTTTCTATAGATAGATATAGATATATGTAGAAACAGGCATATTAAAACCCATGAGTTTATACAATAGACTACATGCCCCAGTTGCCCTTTCCATATCTGTATATTGCCCTTCTCAAACAGTGAGAAACCTGAATCCAATTACTGTCAAAATATTTACTTGTTTGCTCACACTAAAAGACCTCAAAAACAGTTTCAGAATAACTAACTCATGTCATTGTGACAAACAAACCTACTAGCTAGGGTTCAGTATTTGTTTTCAGGTTTTGTTCTTTAGTCTTAATGTACTTAATCAAAATAGTGTGTTCCCAAATGACTAAGGTCTGTTTCCCCCCCTCCTCTCCTCCTCCCTGTTTAGAATGCTTAAGCAGCTTGTGTTATTCATTTGAAAAACAGTCTGTTCCCATTTGTATATCACATTAACTTTTTTACTCCATCCTTGTCTACTTCTTTTTGTCTTTCTTATTTTGTAGGTGTGTTTATCCCTTTTTAAAATATTTTCATTGATTTTAGAGAGATGAAGGAAGAGGGGGAGGAGAGAGAGAGAGAGAGAGAGAGAGATCAATGTGAGAGAGAATTATCAATGGGCTGCCTCCTGCACACCCACTACTAGGGATCGGGATCGAGCCCACAACCCAGGCAAGTGCCCTGACTGAAATCAAACCTGGGACCTTTTGGTGCATGGGACAATGCTCAACCAACTGAGCCACTCCAGCCAGGGCGCTCCCTTTTTTGTTTGATTAATTTTACTAGTGATTTATATGTTTTGTTACTTTTTTCAAAGAACCAAAAGTTTACTTTTTACTTGAGCCTACTGTTTTCTATACCTAATGTCCATTATTTTTCTGCTTTTACCTTTATTGTTTTCTCTCCTGTGCTTTCTTTTGGCTCATTTGTTTTTCTTTCTCTCGCTTTTTAAGTTGATATAATTCATTCATTTTCACTCTTTTCTTTTTATTGATGTGTTTTTTATTAAATTTATTGGGATGATATTGTTAATAGGATCATATATGTTTCAGGTATAGATTTCTGTGATATAAGATCTATATATTGCACTGTGTGCCCACCACCCAAAGTCAAATCTTCTTCCGTCACCATATATTAGGCCCTCTTCACTCCCCACTCCCCCACCCCCTTCCCTGTGGCAACCGCAACAAGACCAGTACAGGCACTATGGAAAGCAATCTGGTGATTCCTCAAAAAATTAAGAGTAGAGTTAACATATGACCCAGAAATCCCTCTCCTGGGTATATACCCAACACACTCAAAAACATGTATTTGCAAAGATATGCACCCCTATGTTCATTGCAGCACTATTCAAGATGGCCAAGATATGGAGACAGCCAAAGTGCCCTACACTAGAAGACTGGATAGAGAAGATGTGGTACATATACACAGTGGAATACTACTCAGCCTTAAGAAAGGATGAAATACTGCCATTTGCAACAACATGGATGGACCTTGAGAACGTTATACGAAGTGAAATAAGTCAGTCATGATGTGTTGAAGTCTATGAATTTTCCTCTGATCTGTACTTTAAATCTATCCAATAGTCTCTGATATGTAGTGTTTTCATTATTTGCATGTGTATGGGGTTTTTTTTGGGGGGGTGGATATTCTGTAATTTTGACTCATATTTTTCCTTTCACCCAAGAGCTGTTTAATAGAATTTTTAAAATTTCTAATTGGAAGAGCTCTTTGGTTTTTTTTAAATTCTGGTTTTCTTGCACTGTGATAGAAAGTATTATTATACTAGAGGCCCGGTGCACGAAATTTGTGCACATGTGCAATCCCTAGGCCTGGCCGGCGATCGAAGTGCGAGCGTCTGGCATGGAAGGACAGGTCCCAGCTGACCTCTGGGCCCTTGGCAGCACCTGGACCCCCAGGGCCCTTGCACACCCCCCTCCGCCTAAGTCACAGCGCCCAAGTCCCCACATGGAGATGCAGTGAGCCATGAGCCAGGGTGCAGCATGGGCCTCTGGACTGCCCAGCAGCACCACACGGAAGCTGGGCAGGCAGTGTGCTCTTTCCAGGCCGGCCTCACAGACCAGCTCCTGCACAAATCCATGGGGATCCCAACCAGCCCTTGTGGTCCCATCAGCTGCAGCCTGGCTCACCTGGAAGAGGCCATGCAGGTGCAGGGTGGGCTCCTCGTGGGCGCTCGGCACCTGAGCGTGGGGGCTTCCCTGGCGTCCTGGAGGAGGGTAGCAGGGGGAGTGAGAGCAAGCTCAGTGGACAACCCACATTCTCACCCCACCTCCATCCCCATCACCCCTGCCCCAAGGTAGCCGGCAAGAGGTCGCAGCACTTCACCAATGCCCACCATGTTCTACACTGCACCCTGGTGGTCAGCACACATCATAGTGAGTGGTAGAACTCCCGGTGTCCCAGTCAAACTCCCAGTCGAACAACTGCCCAAAGGGACAAATTGCATATTAGGCTTTTATTATATAAGATTTCCACTAGAGGCCCGGAGCACAGATTTGTGCACCAGTGGGGTCCCTTGACCTAACCTGTACCCTCTCGCAATCCAGGACCCCTCAGGGGATGTTCGAGAGTGGGTTTTGGCCCAATCCCTGCAGGCCAAGCCAAGGGACCCCACCAGTGCACGAATCCATGCACTGGGCCTCCAGTATGCATATAAGATCTTTGGTTAATGTCTTCCCCCCCTCCACCCGCCCCCCTTCCCTCTGAGATTCATCAGTCTGTTCCATGTTTCCATGCCTGTGCGTTCAGCGTCTGACCCCTGGTGGTCAGTGGCATCATAGCTACTGGTCGAACGGTCAAACAGTCACTTAGGCTTTTATATATAGAGATTGTTCCAATAGAACTTATTTGTGCACTAG